TTTTGGTTTTTTGAACTGTGGTTTATGACCTGTTTCTGGACTGCCTGCCGGCTTGGTTTTTTGGTGGTTTTCTTTTTTCTCCCCCTATAGACTTCAGATTATCTGCCAGACTGTTCTGGACACCTTTTCTTTGTTTTCAGTTTTGTTTCTGCCTTATTAAAATCCTTTTGCACTGTACCTGCCTGTCAGCCTGATCTGTGTCTGCTCCTGGGTTCCCCGATTGCCCCCGTGACAGTCAGGACCATGCATCCTGATCAGGATCACATCAAACACGCTGAACCCCGTCTGAGCCAAACAAACATATTTTTATGTCATCTTAACATCTAATGAGCATCGTTTAGCAAAATTTCATGCAGTTTTAAAGTGAAGAGCAAGCAAGGCTGTTTATCTTGTGCTCCATCCATCCATCATCTCTACACCTTAATCCTCACTAGGGTCATGGGGGCCGGAGTCTATTCCAGCTGACTCAGGGTGAAGGCAGGTTCAAACAGGTCACCAGGTCACCTGGTGAGAAACCACACTGCACGGGGAGAACATGGAGACTCCACGCAGAAAGATCCAGGGTGTCCTCACCGGGACGAGAACCGGCGACCTTCTAGCTGCGAGGCGACGGTTCTAACCACCGAGCCACCTTGCAGACCACCACCAATTCCATTCAATTTATTTTAATGTTACAGTTTTGGTGGCACTGATGAGGAACAGAAGCCCCCTCAGGGCATTTACAACATTCTATTACAGAGAGACGTCCAACAAATTCACCAATTCCTTTTAGGCATTAACTTGGAACCAGTGGGGATAAAAAGACTTGTATACCCACCTACTATGTCGGTAGCAGCCTGTGCAGCTATGAGGCCGTTATATAACACGAGCCCCCTCATGCACACACACACTCGTCTCATTGTCAAAACACTGTGCCTGTCAGTGAGTCCTGGGTGCACATGGACTTAAAATAGACCTGGACACATACGAGTCCCCCGTTACATCAAGGCATGATCCATGTGGGCATAACCGGCTCTGGAAACACGTGAGGCAGAGGAGGCTTAATATTGCACAGACCAAGCACAGGGCTCCACACTCTCCTACTACAGTGGTCCAGAGCCTGACCACCCATTACCAGTCCGCAGGGAGCGTTTCACTGGGAAAGCATCACCATGCCTAAAGTCTTAGTGCCAGGTGAGTTTGGGCAGAGTGACTCTGAGCTTGAATGTGTACTACACCAATAAGAAGAGGATGTGTTAGCATGTTCAAAGCTTTGTTTAGCACTGATTCATCAAGTTTTTGCCAGTCGTGCATTCATTTCAGTGTTTTTCTATTTTGGTCAACGTATGAAAATAAATAAAAACCACCACCCTCATGTCTACTAACAGAGCTGGGTGCAGGTGAGATCTCCCAAAACTTTGCTAAAATGCTTGAACAAATGTATAATTTAGGGTTCAGACATCCCATTTGTTTAGCAGCGTCGCTCTGATGCCATCGACAGCTTGGGTGAGAGGTTCATTGGGGTTAGAATGCACAGAGTTCCAGTATGAAGCACACACTGCAACACGTCTTTGCTTTCTGGTCCACGTGTGCACCAAATTGCTGTTTGAATTTTCATAATTTGTCAAAAGCATTCTTCAGCGTTCAGATTTCTATTCTAACACTTTGGGGCTGTGTGTCAGCTGCTGGCTGGTTGAGTGGTTGAATATCAGCTGTGAAGATGTCAGGAGAGGATATGTGATGGATGTGTCCCGTCAGCACATTAACTCCCGTCAAGTATGACATGAGATCAGGTCACGCGGTAACTTTGGCTCAGTTTGTTTTCATTATGCACAAAAAACTTCTATGATCCAAACTATTCTAAATGCTGTTGTAACCTTTGCTAATAATAGCCTGCATTCACCAGGCACTGGGCCACCGGCACGACACATTATACCTGCAAAGGGTTCTGACAGGGTAGAAAATAGAAATGCAGTAGTCTGTACCAGAGATCTCCAACTCCGGTCCTCGTGAGCTACTGTCCTGCAGGTTTTAGATGTTTCTGCAACACACCTGACTCACATTAATGGATCTCCAACAGCTTGTTGTCAAGTTCTACACAAGTCTGTTCATGATCCATTAATGTGAGTCAGGTGTGTTGCAGAAACATCTAAAACCTGCAGGACCGGAGTTGGAGATCCCTGGTCTAAACAGCTTTAGTCTGGACAGCTTGCTGAACAGAGAGATTGACTGTAAGGAGTTTGCAGATGTTAGTGCAGTACGTGGTCTACGCAGGCAGATTTTATGAGCAGCAAATCTTCTGGAGTAGCTGCTGAGAACTGACAGTAAATATGTTGTCAAGTTAAGAACATTTAGAAAAGTTTTAAATCAAAGGACCTGTTCATCACCAAAAAACACACGTTCCACTTATTTCTGATGGGATTTAGCCCGTCTTGGTTTTAAATGATGCAGGTTAACAGGATTTAGACTCAACATAGTCTAGAACTCCACAGATGATCTACAGATGATCCACAGGTGTGCTTGTTTTCAGGGGGATGATTGTCTACTAAAGCGGACAGGTTTTTGTGTAACACACTTGCTTCCATATTGTTGCTTGCTTTGTAACATAACCACACATTTTCTGTTTCCCCCATTAACCCCGGACTGTCCCGTCCTGACTGGGACTTTTTGCTAACTCAGCAGAGGGAGAAAGTGAGTACTGAGCTGTGACATTTCAAGTTCACATTGTCGTAAAGACAATGTGAAGCATTCCAAATGCACGAGTTACTGTCTGGATGTGAGACAGTAACGTCAACAGATGTTCTTTCTTTGCATTTGAGTGCAACCTGATGATATAAACTAGCCGTGAAAGCATCTCTATGTACCAAGAACACAGAATTACAACCTGTTTTTTCCAGCTGTAGAAACTGTAAAGCTTGATTTAACAGTCGTGCACCCTCTGACCTGATCCATTTACCAGAGAGTGCACACACTCGTCCAACGTTTCATGTCATTGCTCATTTTCAAAACATTTGCTAATGCATCTAATTCATATTGGTAACGATATACTGTGGTGTACTCTCACTGTAATGTGCAGTATTTGCTAGTACGGCAGTTACACAGTGCATGTTGTTGTTCATCTATTGTGAGTTGGGTTCCCGAGGTGGGACGTGTTCATGTGTAACATCTTGTATATAACATTTTCTAAACAATGCTTTTCTAACACTCTCCTTTTTGGACTTTATTCCGGGTGGTGCTACTCTCTCGCTGGGCACAATCAGAGCCGCAGAGTAAGTATTACGGACAATAAGTGGACCTTTGACGTTAAGCTCCACACAGGAGCTGCTGTCGTCCAGTACGCAGCCTTGGCTCGTGTATAGTCAGTGCATGTAAGAAGTGATGCTTGATCAAGTTGTCTCTGCAACAGGACGTGTAAAGTAGAGCCACTCCGACTGTGTATCGGCTCTTCTGAAAACTGCAGCTTGGTTCATGACTTCACTTGTTTCTGAAGCCTCTTTTCTCCTCATTTTTTTTGACTTACTGACAAATGTGGATCAAAATTATACATATGGAGCCGATAAAATAATAAAATAATTCTGCAAAATAAAAAAAATGAGAGAAAACAGGTTCTGGATGTATACACTACAGAAGGCCGTACCATCCTGTGCCCAGATGGGCCCGTTGTGGTCATGTATGTGAGGCATGTGCTGGTATCTGTACACATCAGGGTCAGTAGATTATGTGCCTTCTGTGTCACAGATGTAGGATGTCATGTCCAAAACTCCACAATTTTATCATTCAGCAGTCATCTTCATGTCGTGTAGATTAGCAGTTAAAGCTTCCAGATGTGGCTTGCCTGGTTTCCTTCAGTGCTGCATGATGTCATGGAAGCAGAAGGCATATCTGTTACTAACAGGACAAACATTTGGCTGACAGAGACGGATGACAACATGAGGGCCTTCGCGGAGAAGGTCTTTGCGTCTGAGACCAAAGACGAGAACATCCGCGATGAAATCTCCATGTTTGATGTGGCTGAGGACTGTCCCATCATCCACCATGAGATGGCCCATCATCTGCACACTGATGATGATGCTGAGAAACGGTGAGATGGAAGATGTCCGTTTTTTCTTGTGGTACCACAGAATCAGGCCTTTACATGGTGAAAACAGAACATTTTAATTTGAAAATGAATCTACCTAACATTCACCGTGAAGGTAATTTGGTGCTCATGACAAACGTTTAGGAAGTGTTGACAATGGATGGAGCCATCCACTAAACCTCACCTCTTGTGCACAGCAAGAGGCACCAGCGCTGCCGCACCTCAGCCAAGGCAGCGACCGTTCCCCAGGCGACTGCTGCCCCTGTAGTGTCAGTGGAGGTGGACATGCCCACCTACCTGGAGGTGCCCGACTTCCAGAGAGTGGCCATCATCGGAGACTATGCTGCAGGGGTATGGTTCATTTTACTTCATTTTTGAATATACAATACTAATTGATCAGATTAATACAGCACTTGTCTAGACACTCAGACAAGCTTTACACTGTCAGCTATTCATTGACACACATCCATCCTGGTGGTGGTAGCTACACCTGGGGCAGACTGACAGAGGCCTGGCTGCCATTCTGCCCTCCGACCACCACCTCAGCAATCCATTCATACGCATTCACACCAGGCAAGGTGGTGAAGTGTCTTGTCCAAGGACACAACGACCATGATGCAGGTTACAGGGTGGAATCGAACCGCCGACCTTCCAATCTTTGACCAACTCGCTCTACCACCTGAGCCACAGCCGCCCAGAATCCTTGGTGAAAATCATAAATGATGGCGACCTTCTGCAGCAGTGATGAGGGATTATTATGATAGTATTTCAGGGTGTACCAGTACCCTGTAGCATCACCACAGGTGCAGTAAAGCGAGTTCAGACGTGAATTTAAACAAAAAGAGTAGTGATAGTTCATACTTTAGTAAAGCTGTAAAGCTCATTGAAAATCATGAGATAGTTTGTTTGTTAACTCAACAACTGCTTGGTCAGACTGATGTGTAATTCAATCAGTTTACAATCACATCCACTCAGTTCACTTCTCTGCTGTATTGAATTTTGTAGAGCATGCTAATATGCTAACCGGGTTTAGAAAGGTAAGTTTAGTCAATACTTAGGAATATAAACTACTCAAAAAAAGCAAAACGATATATAAATATAAAAAGTAAAGACGTCCAAAAAAGGAAGTAAAACACAGTAGTTCAGACACAATCATCCTCATTACATCCAGTTTAATTCACAACCTGCCATACTATCTCTAATCCAGTGAGTACTGTATAAATAAGGTTTCATCTCTACTTAGGGAAGATTAGTTGTCTTGCAATCAGTGGTGACTGAAGGCCTTTGAGAGCGTTTGGAATATATCTCCTCAGAACTTAGTGTCTGAAGCAGCCCAAAGAATTGTGCATAAAAGTCCCAATTTGATTATTTGATTGTTGCACCGAGCAAACATGGTGTTCATTTCAGGATCTATCTACTTTTTTTTAGTATAACAAAGATGATGGACGGCTTTAAACTGTGGTCCATGTTGTGCACATGTAGATCAGGAATGGATCCTCTTCAGAACTGAGTCCTATGTTTCATCAACCTGTTGCAAATGTGGGTCATCTTCCTGTGAGCCCTTAATTTCAGATAAGGAGGGTCAATTAAAAAGACAAAGTGGCTCATATAACCGAGTAATCTCTCTAGGTGGATCTTTGGCCAGAATGGTTTCATTTGGTGGAAAACAGAACCCGGCCCAGTTACTTTGTGCAAAGTTTCTGACTTCTAAATATTCAAAAAAAACGTATAACTCGGTGAATGATGCAAAAGTACCCTCATCATTCATTTCACTGCTTAGATGAATGGAAGTCAGAAGAGCTCCCAAACGTCTGTGATGAGTTTAAAAACGGTAGCTAGACATTTGAAGTTGACAATACTTGTAGCAAGTATCTCTATTTGCCCAAGACTGGAGTCCAGCTGACGTGGATGCACACTGTGTTGACCTTGAATTTCACTGACTATATGTGTCTGCGGGTCAGTGTCCTGGCAGCCGTCCTCCCACCAGCAGAGCCCCATGAATGGAGCTCATCTGAGAGCCGGCCGGGGTTTAGGTTTCATGACTGTGGCTTTGACATTTACATTACAGGGAGAGAAAAACCTTGGAGGAGACGATTATTATTTGTGCTTTAGATAACTCAGATCTCAACCTGCAACGCCGTCTTTCTAGCTGATGTATAATCATCTTTATTTGTGACCCGTGTGCACGACATCAGTCGCATCGAGCTACATCCCAGATCCAGCCTGGATTACGCTAACGCATGATCAAATATTGATTTTGGGTTTATTACTCCGATCGGTCCATTTAGTTGTTTCCTACATGTAGGTAACGTGTGATATTACAGAGTGTTATAATATTACAGAGCTTCATGTGGCTGTCAGATACCATGAGGAGGATGATTTGGTGCAGATGGGTCACATTTACCTTTTTAAAGACAGTAAGATAACACAGATAAAGCATAAAATCCATTTAAAAGACAGAAAAAACCAACACGGTGTTAGAAAAGGTCAAATATATAAATCTGTAAAATCCATAAACGTACCCTAAAACATCCTGCAGCCACTTACAGGGGCTGAAACAGGACTGATTTAATTGTGCTTCTTGGTTCTGTTTTGTTTTTACATCTATTATATCCTGATGAACGCTGATTTAAAAAAAAAAGTGTTACCAATAATGTACACTTTTCAAAGTCTTGTTTATTTTTTACTTTTTTATCGCATTAAGTTCAGGATTATTCCAAATAGACAGTTTCCACCATCAAAACTACAATCCAGCCGTTCTATCATTAAATATAAATATCCTATTGAAGATTTCTTATTTCATGTACTGTTAGTTGTTAATTCATGCAGTTATTTTCCTCGTAAGATGGCGGCCTTTTGCTCTCCAGTCAGTCATGGGCTGTAGGAAGGGCAGTGCCGATCCGGCCCCGCTCTGCATCAACAGGGACCGAGTAGAAAGGGTTCAGTCAGTCAGATTTGTGGGCGTGCACATGCGTGACACCTCTCCTGCTCTGTCAACACCACAGCGGTGGTGCAGAAGGCCCAGCAGCAGCGACACCACTTCCTGAGAGCGCTCTGGAAAAACCACCCGGAGGAAAAGCTGCTTGTTGCCTTCTACCGAGCTGCTGTAGAGAGAATTTCTGCAGCTCAGTGTGGTCCTCTCTGCAGAGGCTGATCAACACAGCCCAAAGGCCACTGGCTGATCTCTGCCCTGCCTAGAGGGCCTGACCGGCATCACAGCAGAGCTAATCATTAAGGACTCAACCCACGCTGGACACCACATGTCTGACCTGTTGCCCTGTGGCAAACACAAACAGACAGACTCTCTTTCTGAGAGCTGTCACCTCGTTAAACAGTTGTACATAGAACACAGAACCACTGCTCATGCCCATAAATGTGAACACAAAAAATATATGTGCAATAAACCTCATCAGTGTTAAATAGCTGTGCAATAACTTTTATCAATGAGAAATAAAAAAAAACAAACATTTACCAGCATTCAGTTTCATATCATAACATGTGCAGTACTATATTACTTATAAAGATATCTCCTGATTTTTTTATCACTTTTGTATACATGTATGTTTATTTTTTGAAATGTATACCTGCTGCCACCAGTTATTTGTATATTCAGTTTTAAACTATTTACATGCACCAACTGGAGCAACGCTGCTAATTTGTTCACAATACAGCCACAATAAAATCATCCTATTCTATTCTATTAAATTAATTAAATGCATTAATTAATCAGGCTTTTGCACGAGTATCAGACCTTCACATTTTACCAGAGCCACAACTTTTTGCAGGCATTTCCTTTAAAACCTGTGATGTGTGTTATCTGTGATGTCCAGGTGACCATGGATGACTTTGAGCTGTCCTGTAAGGGTCTGTACCGAGCCTTGACCATCAGGGAGAAGTACATGAGACTGGCCTATCAGCGCTTCCCCAGAACGGCGTCCCAGTATCTGCGTGACGTGGAGGGAGAGACCTTCAAACCTGAAGATCAGCTGCAGCCTGGTGAGATGAGGATCAGTGCACTGATGGACTCACACAGCCTGTATAGAATTCAACATGTTTCCTGTATTTGGGTGTCATTCAGATGTTGTTTTTACTCGTTGCATCCCTCCTCAGTCTTCACACCTCCTCCAAAAAATGGGGAAGATCCTTTTGACACCTCAAGCCTGCCAAAGAATCTGGGCTACATTGCCCGTATGAAGGATGGTCTCATCTACGTGTACAACGACGCCGCAGCTGCCGACAAGCATCAACCCAAAGACCTGCCCTGCCCCGACTACGTCACCTTCATCGACGACATGAACTTCCTCATTGCTCTCATCGCACAGGGCCCAACGTGAGTCCTTTAAAAGTGTACCTTTACTGAGCTTGAAATTCCTCAGCCTTTAAAACATCCCCCCAGGATAGCACCCATACCTTTCCCTGTCAGGAATTTACCACTTTCAACTTGGCCTCCTTTTAGATGAACCCCAGGTTGACTGAAGTCATTTATCACAAGTTCTCTGTGGGTGGTCCTGAGGATCCACACTTGTGGAGTTTGTAGCTAAATAACATCCAATAACAAGGAACTTTTTAATATTTTCCAAAACTTTTGGAGCAGCAAAAAGGTGTTTCATACATACAGGTACTTGGACTGTTTAATATCAGCTCACAGTCAGCCTGTGTACAATAAGCTCCTCTTTGTTTTGCAGCAAGACTTACACTCACCGCCGTCTGAAGTTCCTCATGTCCAAGTTCAACGTGCACGAGATGTTGAATGAGATGGAGGAGATGAAGGAGTTGAAGGTGAACCCTCACAGGGATTTCTACAACTGCAGGAAGGTAACTATGAGCAGAGCACTCTGTTATTTAAACATCAAAACTAGACAACAACAGGCTCATGAAAACTTCTGACTGTTAATGTGGACTTACACAAGATCAATACATACACGATGGGTACAGCTGCCACAAAGACTGGATTTCAATCCTTTAATAACTCCTCTTGAAATCTCTCCTTTAATGGAGGAGCAGCAGAGCCTCAGTATCATCACATATGTTAACAAGTTAGCACAGAAACTGCTACTTAACTTTCTGTTGCTGTATAGGTGTCATGCCTCTTGTGGTGTCTCTACCGCCCTCTTGTGGCCTCACGCAGTCATTACACCACCCAAACCTAATCCACACTCTGCTGCCGTTCCAGGTGGACACTCACATCCACGCCGCTGCCTGCATGAACCAGAAGCACCTGCTGCGCTTCATCAAAAAGTCTTACCGCGTGGATGCTGATCGAGTCGTGCACAACCTGAAGGGGAAGGAAGTCACCATGAAGGAGCTGTTCGAGTCGCTGAACCTGCATCCCTACAACCTCACCGTGGACTCACTGGATGTGCACGCTGTATGTTTCTACACTAGTGGCCATAGATGTGAACAGACGATAAAATAACAAGGCATGGATAGAACCAGCTGTTCAGTGACCTTAAAAGAATAATTTGGTGTGAAAGCTCTTCACTGTTTAAGTTGTGATTCCATGAAATCATCAGTGATGCCACATGACTCCCTTAAAATCAGCAGATTTTTATGAATAACAACTTCAGGGTGTTTCAGTGCAAAATTGTTCCATCATACCATCAATATTTTCAGAGTTACGGGCTCTTGCAGTACATAGGAGAGAGTCAACTTATATAAAAGATGAGCCTGGTTGCTTTAACTTGTTCTGACCAACCCTAGCCCACATGGTGACATGACCCATGAACATTTCCAGGTAAAAATAAGGATTGTGATACTTATTTTCCACGATCTAAATCTATGTTCTTGTGTCTTTGTCATTTTGCTAAAGGGCAGACAAACCTTCCAGCGCTTCGATAAGTTCAACGCCAAATACAACCCCGTGGGAGCCAGTGAGCTCCGTGACCTGTACCTGAAGACAGAGAACCACATCAACGGAGAGTACTTTGCCACCATCATCAAGGTTAGTTTCTATATATGAAGATTTTGTTGTTAGAAAGCATTACAACAAATGGTTTCCTTGTAAAACAATGGTGATAAATGAACAGTATTGACATTCAGATTCACTCACATGCATTAGTGTGACTTTAAAGTTCCATCTGGTCTTGGTTTCTTGTATTTAGCAGCCCAGTACTGACCAGATTAATCCCTTATACCCCAAACTTTAAGTGGTCCGAGCTTGATTTGACGCTTGTGTAAAACCAGGAAGTAGCCACTGACCTGGAAGAGGCCAAGTACCAGTACGCTGAGCCTCGTCTGTCCATCTATGGCTGCAACCCCAACGAGTGGACCAAGCTCTCCGGCTGGTTCGTCAAGCACAGAGTCTTCTCCCCACACCTCAAATGGATGATTCAAGTACCCAGGATCTAGTGAGTTTTCATTGCTCGGTTTCTTTTTTCCACGTAACCTGACCCATCTGTTGGACTCATAAAGAACTATGCATCCTGTTGACGATAAATATCAGCTTCTGCCTACAGTGTGTGATAGTAATGATAATAAAGGAGTTGTTTTAGCCTACAAATGTCCCAGAAGACAAGACTTGACAGATGGCTAGAATTCAGAGCTAAACTGAACTTGTTTGCGTGTCTCTTGTCTTAGTGACATCTTCAAAGGGAGAAACTTTGTGCCCCACTTTGGCAAGATGTTGGAGAACATTTTCCTTCCCGTCTTCCAGGCCACCATCGACCCACAGTCCAACCCAGAGCTGAGCATCTTCCTCAACCATGTGAGTTCAGACACAACCAGATGTTAAATGTTTTCATTAGATTGACCATCTGGATCACAAGTTGATAGGATATCCTTATTCTCAAGCATGGACATACAGATTAACTGTCGCTCTTGTTGCCCAACAAAGTGAAGGCCCTGTTCTGCAGTATAATGGACTGTGTCTTTGTACCTGGAGCGCAGGTGACAGGTTTCGACAGTGTGGACGATGAGTCCAAACACAGCGGCCACATGTTCTCCACTAAGAGCCCCAAACCAGAGGAGTGGGACATCGTCAAGAACCCCTCGTACACTTACTACATCTACTACATGTACGCCAACATCGCTGTTCTCAACCAGCTCCGCAGGTGAGAAGCTTCTGGAGTTTTTCTATTAATATAATTACTTGATAGTTGTTGTTTCCTATGAGAGCTTCCGGGTATTTTGCCTCATCTTCTCTGTGACAGGCCAGTACATCCCTCCACCGGCATGTCTCCTTCTGTAGCATAACACTTGTTTACCTTCTGTTTTCCAGACAGAGGGGGATGAACACGTTCATGTTCAGGCCTCACTGTGGCGAGGCCGGTGCCATCACCCACCTGCTGGCTGCCTTCATGACCGCTGACAACATCTCCCACGGCCTCAACCTCAAGAAGGTCAGTTCTCTGGATTCAGCAGGACGCCTCCTGTGGATCAACACGTTGTTTCAGCAGCACACATGCTGTATGCACAGGTTGACACAGATTTAAACATCTTGTGTTGTTCTGTTCATCACATTTGAACCAATAGCTAATTGAAAAATGAATGATGATGTGATGTACGTCAACGTGCTGCTCAGAGTGTTGTTTAAGACGCTGACTGTTTTTTTCCACAAGGAGCAAAGACATGAAACGATTCTCTTATCTGAGAGCAACAAAACACGAGTTGTATTTTACACTATCTGATTAAAGGCCATAAGAGCCCATTCTTAATGAAGTTTCTTCAGGGACAATTATCTTGTCTTACCTTGTGTCTGAAAGCAAGATCTAAGATGCTGAGGTTCTCCTCTGCCGACACCTGTAGGAAGAGAGTGAGATATTATCCTGAATATGACTTCAGGGACCAGTTATTAAACTTAAAAAAGTATTTGTCAGATAAAATGAATAAACATTAAAAGAAATCAGTCTATATTTACTGAGTTAGAAACTTGCCAGCAGGCCTCGTGGCGCCTACTGCAGAACCACATCACATGTGGGCTTTGATTTGGCTTTAAGCTGAACATCTCTGACTTACTGCCTTTTAAGTTTTTTTTTTTTTGTTTTGTTTGTTTTGTTTTTGCCTAAATTTTATAGAAAAAAGTTGTAAAAAGTCAAAATGCCATTTTATTTGACCAATAATCGCAGCAGGAGCTGATCAGAAGCTGACCTTGCATTTCTTCATCTACCGTCCCATCCAGAGCCCTGTGCTGCAGTACCTGTACTTCCTGGCCCAGATCCCCATCGCCATGTCTCCTCTCAGCAACAACAGCCTGTTCCTGGAGTATGCCAAGAACCCCCTGCTGGAGTTCCACAAGAAAGGCCTGGTGGTGTCCCTGTCCACCGACGACCCCATGCAGTTCCACTACACCAAGGTCTGAGCGCATGGAGGGGACGCCTTTGATGATGTTGTAGACAATGGTGCATGCTGGGTGGCTTAGAATGCCTATTGTGTACATTTACACAAGTATGAATGTCAGTTTTGTGAAGTCAGAGGTTGGTTATGTAACGCACCCTCAAATAAACATGGAATACAATATGCATTGAATGAACAGCCACAGTAACCACACACAGCAGGTCCACACTCAGGGGTTTTATTATATAAATTACACATATATAACTTAAGTCTTTCTGTCCACAGGAGCCACTGATGGAAGAATACGCCATCGCAGCTCAGGTCTTTAAGCTCAGTACCTGTGACATGTGTGAGATCTCCAGGAACAGCGTTCTTCAGAGCGCCATGTCTAATGAGGTAACGCACACAGCAGCATGTTACACTGAAAAGCTTTGTGTCCGGTCATCTGACAGACCTACACAGCCTCTATCCCCAGATGATGCTTCACACAGAGGTGATGCTGTACTTCACATACCTGCATCAAAGCATGCTCTGGTCTTTGTTTCGTACTCCAGGAGAAAAGCCACTTCCTGGGTCAGGATTACCTGAAAGAGGGTCCAGAGGGCAACGACATCCGAAAGACCAACGTGGCCCAGATCCGTATGGCGTACCGCTTTGAGACCCTCTGCTATGAGCTGAACCTCATCAAGGAAGGCCTGAAGACTGGATAAACAGACGTGTCTTACACTTGGTCAGAAGTGATGTAGAAAGTTTTCACCTTTTGTTTTCCACAGTAACTCTTAAACTAGGAACCTTCTGATTCACTGATGTCTCCTGTAAAAGAAGAAACGTGTTTTCGCTGTTTGTCATCTGCACATCTTGTCAAAAGCACATGACAGTGTGTCTGTAGCACCTGGAGGAACGTCATGTATGAGAATGAAAAGAAATAAAGTGTGAAATATTAAGGATGTGTTGAGGGTTTTATTGACTCAACAGCAGGATCTTGTTGTGTTTATGTTGCCGTCAGACGTTTCCAGTCAGCTTGGCGCCTTGTTGCTTTTATGTCCTGCTCCAAAAGCACTCTTCTGTTTGTTCTTTAAGAAGTTTAGTCATTTTACTGTATCAGCAGAATGAAGAGGAAAATGTGCCCCAGTCATGTAAATTTAATGAAGTTATTAGTCTGAGTAGCTGCAGACTGGTTTTACCCACACTGACTGACCGTCTCCATTTGCATTTGTTATAAAGCATAGTGTCAGCGTGTTAGCTGGTGCTTGGCCTTTAGTCTGAACATGTGCAGGATGTAGTCAGGACTTCTTGGTGTCTTCCTCTTTCAGTTTTAACAAACAAGTCAGTCTCACTGTGAGGAGCAGCAGGATCTGGAAACTACTGCTGTAACTCTCTGCATTTGGGTTTAACACAGTTCAACAACTACAGTGAGCTCAGATCTGCCAGGTTCCTGACTGGTGCAAAGAAAAGATGCACATCACATCAGTTCTGGCTTAGTTGTATTAATAACCAATGAAACACAGAAATACAGAGTTTAAAATCTTACTGTTTGTTGTTAAAGGTCTCAGTATATTGCTGATGTGTTACCTTTGTCTTCTGCCTCTTATGAGCTTTTCCAGGTATTGATCCTCGGCACTGTGCCAGTCTCCACATTAAATCCTGTCCCGCCATTGTTGAGGTCAAATCTGAATTAAAATCCTTACCTTTTTTCTCCCCATTGTTTTTAGTTCTCCCTGAAGCTGCTGATTGTGGTCACTCCTTCTGTTTCACTCCTCTGCTCATAAAGTCCCACCTGTTATGTTTTATCTCCGCTGTCATGCTCATACGTTTGTCTTCATGTGTGTTTAAACATCACAGTTTGCTGTGATTCCTGTCATTCCCTCTGTGCATTAATGTGCATGACTGTGTCTTTTCTCTTTTACAGCTCGTGCTTTGTCCTCTCTCCGTCTCTGTACATCTCTGCAGGTTGTGTTTGAGTTTGCACATGTCTGATCTGCAGGTACTGGTCCCACCAACCTGTTCAGTGTTTCCTGTTTGTGTGCACTTTTCCTTTTCCTCATCCTTTTACCCTCAACCCAGCTGGTCCAGGCAGACAGGCGTCCTCTCTCAGTCTGGTTCTGCTGGAGGTCTTGTCTCCTCCACTGTCACCAGGAAGGTACAAGAACAAAATCTTTGTTGGGTTTTCTATGTATATTTATGTCAGGTTGTAACTTTAACTTCTAAATTAGTCATTAATCTCTGAGTATATAATGTTTTGGGCTCTTTGGCATATAAGTTAGTCAGGCTAATTTGTAATTTATATAGAATTGTAGGGTTTTACTATAATATTTAAATTATTCCATTAAATTCACATAATAAACAATAGGTTTAAACCTTAAAAGCTGATAGGTAAATTTCTCTTTCTTCTGCTGGACGCTGTTGTTTCACATGTGCAGTATTAAACTTTATGACAGTGTATAGATGTAGATCTGTAAATAACACGACTGTTCTATGGTTCTAATTTAAGTTTAACCATGATTCTTTGCAATATTACAGCTATTTTTTTTATTTCTAGTTACTTTATTTTACTGTATATTTATTGTTTTCGCTATACTGGTTGTTGTTTTGCTGCACCAACCCACCAGAACAAACTCCTCCTATTGTGTGAACTATACCTGGCAATAAATCTGGTTCTGATTCTGATAATGAATGGACGGATGGATTTACGGTACCAACTCTGGCAAAGTCTACATTTTTCGAACTTAATTGACCTGAATTCAAATTCAGCTGCGTTTCATACATGAAGATCAAGTCTGAGATGTTTTTGGAAATCACGTCTAAAGTTAAAAAAGAAAAAAAAAGAAAAGAAAACTTGGCAGAAATGTTTCCACACGCATCACGCACAGCCAGAGGACGTGTTAAATTAAAGTCACGTCATGTTAACTAACCTGCGGGCTCAAACAGGTGCAGTGTCCATATTTCCCAGCCCCCCTGAAGACAGCAGCGCTCCTTGAGTTGACAGCTGCAGGAGCTGATGTGATGACGTCTTCCTTCTTCACGAATTCAAGCAAACTTTCTCACAGAAAGACGTTGCGTCAAGCTGGACACACACACCCGGACGGAAACCGGAACACCGCGAAATTACACAATAAACTGCTGCAGGTCACAGATACCGGAGCTTTTCCGTTGCTTAGGCCTAAATAAAATAATAACAACAAACGCTAACCTGTTGAATATTATCTTATATTGTCTTCTTCCTTACCCTCTCCTCTTTCAGTAATACAGGTCTCATATTGTAATCCTTTTTAACAAAATGATGTCAGCAGCCTCGTGTGTGTTCCAGGTTTCAGCTCAAACCATTGCATAGATGATTTACAGGTTTATTACTCCTGATCTTAGTCTAAACAGGTGGTTTTAGTGTCTGAAGCTCTGAAAGCATTGAGCTGCTGCTGTTCAGGACCCTGTCAGGAGAACAAAGAACAATGGGGATGGTGTTATCTCTGATGTTGTGGCTTTATTAAAAAAGAAAAGAAAAAGAAAAAAAAAAGAGAGGAAAGTGAGCTTTTGCAAGATTGAATTTCCCTTCTGGGATAAATAAAGTATTTTTCATTTCATTTCATTTCATTCATTTCATTTCATTTCATTTATAGCCACAAAGGGGTCACAAAATTATGCTCAATAACAAAGACAGTCTGGGTTTTGTAGAACCTGATGATGTGTTTTCAGAATCCCATTTACTTCAGGAAACTACAAACCCCATCTGGGCAGCAGCCTGCACACTGACAAGGTCTCACCAAAGCTTTGGATCATG